GCTGCCCTGGGAAGCCTGGACGGAGGGGCCCTGGGAAGCCTGGACGGAGGGGTCCCAAGAAATCCCAAGAGCCTCCACGTGGAGGTGGCCCAGAGGAGGGGGGGGAGGCCCAGGGGATCCCAAGGGGTCCCAAGAGCATCCACGGGGAGGTGGCCCAGAGAAGCGGGGGGAGGCCCAGGGGGTCCCAAGGGGTCCCAAGGGGAGGGCCCAGGGGGACGAACGAACGAACGAACGACGACGAAAATAAAGATGTCAGAGCTCTAGAGCACAGCAGGCCCCCAAGAGGCCCCCAAGGGGCCCCCAAGCGGCCCCAGGAGGCTCCCCAAATGCCGCAAATGCCCCCCCGAGCACGCAAGCAAGTGCCAACGACCGCACGCGTGTAAGAGTGCCCAAAAGGCCACCGAGAGGCCTCCCGAATGAGTCCCCATAGGCAAAACGCTTCCAGACGGCCCGCGACGCGTTCAAAAGGCTCCCCCATCGGCCACCAAAAAACCCCCGAGAGAACCCCCGCCCCAAACAAATCCCCACGAAGCTGCTCCACCGGAGCAGCTTTACCCCCCCACATGCCGAACGCACACCCTGATAGAAACAAACAGCCGCCGCCCCTGCAGCTCCGCACCGCGAAAGCCCACTCGGTCAGTCGACCACAGAGGGCAATTCTGGCTGGGGCAGGAGGGCAACACGCACCGCTCCTGGGCCCAGGATCGGCCCAGCCAGGATGGATGCAGGCGCATAGCTGGTGCCCTCCGACAGGAGCAGCCGTCGCCGTCCGGGCCCCCGCCGCCGCCGCCATCGCCATCGCCGTCGTCGCCGTCACCGTCGCCGCCCGCCGCCGTCGTCCGTCGCAGTCGTCGTCGCATCCTCGTCCTCCTCCATATCCTCCATATCCTCCATATCCTCCATATCCTCCATATCCTCCTCCTCCTCCTCCTCCTCCTCCTCCAACCAGCCGTTTCGGCTCGGGCTGATTGTGTGAGAAGCTCGAGCTTGTGCCCACGTACTTCGAAGCGGCTCGTGGGCACGAGCCAAACCTACTGTGTGCGCGCCCCGTCCATGGGTGCAGATGGAGAGGTCTTGCCAGGCCCCAAGTATCCAGTCTGGGGATGCGGCAAGTGCGGCGAGAGCGGCAACTGGGCCAGCAGGCTCAAGTGCCGCGGCTGCGGAGGGGCAGCGCCGGTGCGGGTCCAGCAGGACGCCCGCGCGGCAGCTGCCAAGGCAGGGCGCCCGCAGCAGGGGCGCAGCGGCAGCGGCCCCAGCGGCGGCGACCAGTCGCGGCTCGCCAAGGAGGTCAAGGAGCTCAAGCACCAGCTGGCGGCACTCGCGAAAGGAGGTGGAGCCAGCGGCGGCGGGGCAGGAGGAGGCCCACGGCCCTCGCCCGCGGCTGGCGGCGATTGCCCCTCCTACGCTCAAGTCGACGGCTTCCTCAAGAGCCACGGCATCGACTCCGAGCTCATCGCCAAGGTCGAGGAGGCCAAGGTCCAGGAGCTCGAGGCAAAGCCGCCGACCGCGCTGGCGGCTCGGCACCGTGTCGAGAAAGCTACGCGGAAGGTCGAGAAGCTCGAGGAGCGGCTCCAGCAGTACGAGATCCAGAAGCAGGAGCTCCTCAAGGGGATCGCCGAAGCCACGGAGTCGCTGGCTGAGGCGAGGAAGGACCTCGAGCACCACACGAAGATGCTGCACAGAGTCAACTTCAAGGATGGGGGCGACCCCGTGGCTGTCGGCATGGCTGGCTTGGACCCCACGGTGGTCGAGGACGAGGAAGGGACGAAGGCGCTCGAGACCCTCAAGCGGTTGCAGCGTGCAGCCAAGGAGGCGGCGGAGCGCAAGGCCGCTGAAGGTGGTAGGGATCCTGGCGGCGGTGCTGCAGCTGGCGCTGCTGGGGCCCCTGCTGGAGGCGCAGGCGGCCGTGGCCAGGCTCAGGCCCCATGGCCGCCCACACCAGCCGACTTCGAGGGCTCGGAGTTCCACGCTGGGCTCAAGAGGGCCATGGAAGGAGAGAACCCCGAGGCCGCCGTCGCGGAGTACCTGGCGATGCACGCAGCCAAGCGCCAGCGCCTTTGACGAGGAATGGCCGCGGCTGGGCAGCCTGCCCTCTCGACCTCCAGCGAGTCGCCGACATCGTCGAGGACGGCGGCCAGGACCCGCAAGAGGCAGCCACCCCTCGGCCGAACCCCTGCGCCAGCCCATGTCGGGTCTTGCGCCGCGAGGGAGTGAGGCCAACGAAGAGGGTGATGACACATGTCTGAGTAGTTCAGGGGCGTCGACAGGGTGTTCGGTTACTCCTTCTCGGCCGCCAGACTCACCTGACCCCCGCGCGGCTGGGGTCCCCGACCCCAGGGCAGCCCGCGCGCGGGGTCGGGCAGAGGGCGCCACATGTTCTTCGACTGGGGTGGCTCCCTGTCCTTCAGGATCGGCAGGAGCGAGCTCGGGAGATGGGCTGGTCAGGTTTTGGGAGTCCAACACTGTCGACCTGGAGTGGCCGAACCTGGGCTTTGCTGTGGCAGCGCTCGGGGAGCCCGATGTAGAGTTGATTGCAGGTGCTGCGAGGAGAGTCTCCCCTCCCAGGTGCCTCTCGGCGGCGGCAGCGGGTGCGCCGCCTGCTACGAGCTGGTCTGCTGCGGCTTCGGCCAGTTGCTCGGGCTTGGGCCAGGGCGAGGCGGCCAGCGGAGCGGCGGGCGCGGTCCATACTCAGCCCGACGCCGCGGTCCCGCCCGAGGTGGACCAGCCCGAGGGCGTCGCTGCAGTTCAGGTTGGCGAGCATGATGCTGCTCTCTTGTCCCCGCGTTGCGCCCGTAGCGGTGTAGGAAAACACGGTCTTCGGCGGCAAGCAGTTCGACGAGCTGCTGGTGTCCGAGTCCAGCCTGCTGAGGAGAGCTCGAAGCAGGATGGGAACGTTTTTGGTCTTTTTCTGGCTGAACGCGAATGCGTGGAGCAGCTTCGAGGGCATCCACGACTGGTACGTCGACAGCGGCCACGGGATGGCGAAGCAACTCGTGGGCGGGGAGTTACCCCCGCCACAGGTGTTTGCGACCCAGGAGACCAGGCTTAAGGTGCCGACGGTCGAGGAGCGGGCCCACGGCTGGGGCAGCAACCACAGTCTTGCAGTCCAACTAGGCCATGCTGTTGCGACGGGATCTGGGCCGACAGAGAGCTCAGGCGGCGCCGCCCTCGCTGCGCAGTCTCATGTTCCTTCGTGCCCTGTGGCTCTGGATGAGCCCCTTCTGCTTTTCAGCCACCGCGTCGTCGCCCGCAAGATCAACACTGGCTTCCCTGGGGGGCTTCTGGTTTCGCCGATCTACCTGGACGTGAAGGAGGGCCCGAAGGGGCCTGCTAACTGGAAGCTTCCCCAAGGTCTGGCTGTGTTTCTCCTGGGCCAGGGTTCCCCGTGGTTGATCCAGGGCGACTGGGACTGCACGCCAGCTGAGTTGGCCGAGTCGGGGTGGCTCAACACGGTCGTAGGTGCAATATTCCAGCCGAGCGTGCCCGCGTGCGCCACTAGGCACAAGGAAGTGGATGAGGACGGGGCGGGGAAGTGGGTCACGGTGGGGAGTGAGATCGACTTCTTTGTTGGCGCTAAAGTCCTCAGGCACTGCATCCACAAGGTCGTGGCCCTCGGGTCGGCCCCGTCGCCGCCGCACGTGTCAGTGATTGCGATCTTCAAGGATCTTGTGGGGACGGCCTCGTTCAGGAAGCCGAATACGTTCAAGAAGTTCCCAGTGGCCCCTTGTTTTGGCCCGCGCTTGGCCCCGAGGTTGGCCGACTGGGCGTTCGGGCCCGACGAGGTCCGCGCTGATGTTCCTGGAGCTGTTCGGGAATGGCTCAGCAATTCCGAGGCCTGGCTGGGGGTCTTTCGCGACGTTCCCGATGAGCAGCGCGGTTCGTACATGGGCCGTGGGTTGGGCCCTCAAGTGTCCGTGGTGCACCTGCAAACCCTCTGGGATCGAGAGGCTCGTCGGAGGTTCAGCCCGTCAACCACGTGCTGGATGGCTTCTCAGAGCTTGGCCCTCAGGGGCTCGAAGCTGTCGGCTGGTGCTCTTGGACGTCGGGGCTGGGGAGCGGCCTCACGCTGGGCTAGCACCCTTCTGGACATGATCGGTACTATGTATGCCGAGGACCCCCGGCCCCGCAGAAGCCGCAGGAGGGCGTGGAGCGCCCGTGCGAGCAGCAGTTGCGCGCCTTGATCGGTCAGATCAGCGAGGGCGGGTCGCGGCCAGGCGACAAGTTGTGGACGGAGCTGGACAGCTTCGGCACCTTTTTGCAGCGAGCGAGTGCGAGCGAGCGTGGGCGCAAGTGGAGGACCTGGGCTAAGGAAGCTGTGTTGAAAAGGGGGGAGGGCTGCGCATGCCTATGCTAAGAAGAGGCACATCTCCCCCTCCAACGCCCTGGACCCCTCGGCCCCCCCCCCGTGAACGGAGATGATGCCATAGCCGAGCTCTTGGAAAAATGGCGGCCGATGTGGGCGCCGTCTGGGCGCGAAGCCGTGGGCCCTGGGTCGTGGGACATAAGCGACAGCCAGCTTCCCCCGATTTCCTTGGAGGCTTTTCAGGACTGCTGCAGGTCTTACTCGGAGGGCGCAGGGCTCGGCTGGGACCAGTTCCACCCTGAGCTGATCCTGCAACTGCCCCTAGAGTACCAGGTCAGGGTCTTGAGGATAATCCAGACTTTTGAGGATCGCCCGTCTTGGATGATAGAGCTGGTGACGAATATTGTCTTTATTCCTAAACCAGAAGGAGGTTCTAGGCCCATTGGGCTGCTGTGTCTGTTTACGAAACTCTGGAGTAAGCTCAGACAACCCTTGTGCAGGGAATGGGAGAGGACCCACAACGTGGAGTTTCTGGGGAAGCGGGCCCGCGACGACGTGCGAGAGGGCGGGGTGGACCCACAACTTGCCAGGCGCGTTCTGCAGGGCCATTGGCACGGGCAGTGCGACAGTGCTGCTAGACCTTAAGAAGCTTTTATGAGCATGTGCGACATGCTGATCTGTTTGCGGCGGCCAGGCAGTTCGAATTCAACTTGAAGCTTCTCAGGGGCCTCGTGACAGTCTACTCTGGGTTCAGGACGTTGGTGTATGATGGGGCGATCTCGGATTTCCTGCAGGCTACGGGCGCCATCATAGCGGGGTGCTCGGCAGCGGCGACGTTAGCGAAGCTCCTCCTGATCGGTCCTCTCTGCTCGGCGGTCCACGGCAGGCCCCAGGTGCGGGTGCGTAACGTTGTCGACGACGTTACTTTGCAGTGCTGCGGCCCCTGCCAGTTGGTGTCGGACCAGCTGCCCGCGGCAGTGGAGCACATTATCGCTTTTTTCGGCGAGCTCGAGCTCCCTGTGCACACGTCAAAGTGCAATTACTTGGCCAGCGGCGCGGAGCTAGCGATCGCCCTGGAGAGCCGGCGGTCTCTTCCAGCCTCAGGTAAAGTGGACACGGCACGGAACCTCGGCGCGGATGCGAATCTCGGGTCGCTGCGTAGAGTTGGCATCACCAGGGGACGCTGGAAGAAGGCTACACGGACCTCGAGGCGCTTGGTCAACCTGCGTGAAGCGGGTGCGGGCGTGAAATGGATCCAGCGAGGGGGCCCTGCAGCCTCCGCTCTGCGGGGAGTAAGCGTGGTGGGGGCCCCGCCTACGGAGTTGCACCAGCTGCGGGCGGCCGCTTGCAAGGAGTCTCGGCAGATATCCTCGCGGGGCCTCCATTGGGCTCAGGATGTATTCGTATCGGGACGGCCATCGGGTGGACCCTTGGGTTATAGCTCTGGGCCAGGTTGTTGCCCAGTGGGGCACGGCGTGCTGGGGAGGTTGCCCCAAGCCCCAGGTCCTCAACAAGACTCTGGAGTTGGCCCGTGTCAGGTGCTCGGATTCCAAGTGGCCTTGGGTTGCAGCAGCGTCGCCAGCGGATGTCTACCTTCTGATGGTTGGGGGCGTAGGCTGGGACATTCCCTCGGCCACGGTGTTGACGACTGACGGGGGCTCCTAGGTGAACCCGGTCAGGCTGAGCACAGCTGCGGTGCGCAGGCTAGTCGAGGAAGGAGTGAGGCGCGAGTCTGATAGGCTTTCGCTCAAAGCTTTTTCCTCCCTGGGTGCTTCCGATCTTTTGGAGTAGCCTGGAACCTCTGCTCCGCGGGACTTCGCGGAGCTGGACCCCGCGCCAGCAGCGGGCCTTGATGGCCCTGGTCTCGGGAGTGTGGTGGTCCCAGGCCCGCCTGCGCAAACGGGGGCTTGCCGCGTCAGGGGCGTGTACAGTGTGTGGGCACCCAGACGGCTCGTTGTGGCACAGGTGTTTTGAGTGCGATGCCCACGCCGCGTTGCGGCGGGACCATGTGTCTCCCGACCTGCAGAGGCGGGCTCAGAGGGTGAAAGCTTGGAGTTTTGAAGCGGGCGAACTTTTTGCCAGGGGAGTTTTCCCTGATCCCAGCCCTGTGTTCGAGCTGCCCGAGAGCAAGCCTGACCAGCAAACCATCCACTGGTTTCAGCGGCCCGCGTCGGGCTAAATGTCTGGCCTTCTGTTCCTGGACGGGCCCGCGCTGTTCCCGAGCTCCAGGACGCTTTCCAGGGCTGGGTGGTCTGTGGTCAATTGTGACAGGTTTGGCCAGGTTCTGTCTGCGGCTTATGGGTCAGTACCGCAGGACCAGGCCCCTTTCCAGTCATCGAGGGAGGCCGAAGACTTTGCAGTCCGAATGCTGGCCCTGGTGGCGTTGCCGCCCGTTGATCTCTACATAGATTGTAAAGGCACGGTGTCGACGCTCCTGGCGGGCCCTGGAGCGGGCTTGGGAGCGGAGAACCCCCGAGCCCATATGTGGGTTCCGTTCTGGGCGGCGTTCGAGCCGAATGATTTCACGGCCCACAAGACGAAGGCCCATTGCAGCATAGTAGATGTGCAGAACGATCGCACCACCCTTTGGGAGAAGCGGGGCAACGATGCCGCCGATGAATTTGCGAAGCGTGGTGCCGCCCTCTACGGAGTGAGGGAGAGCGAGTACCACCTCTGGCGTGGCCTGGTTGAGGCCGCTCGGGAGGTGGGTCGGTGGAGTGGGCGTTTGCACGCGTTGGTGGGGGACGGGGAGGCCTGCCGGGACCATGATGACCTAATGGAGTTGTATGCTGCTGGCAGAGGACGGGCGCAGGCGTCGACAGAGGCGCAGCCCGACGAGGTGCCTGCTCCAGCCCCCGCTGCTGCGCCAGCGAGTGTGCCCATGTTGCAGTTGCCAGCTGAGGGTTTCGAGGCCTTTCGTGACATGGGTTACCTTTTCAACGGCCACCCGATGCTGCACGCGACTGTCAATGCGAGGTCGGGCCATGAAGATGGCAAGGCCATAAATTTTTGTTGTGCTTGCGGTGCCTTTTTCAGCGTGGAGCGGCCGACTCGAGCTCTCCTCAGGCCGTGCCTCCGTGATAGCGCGGCTTCGGGCTTGAGGCGGCAGCTCACGAAGATTAAGGAGAGCAAGTACCCGTCGGACGGAAGGGCTGAAGGACCTGTCCTTGAACCCCCCAGAGGGAGTGCCGCACGCTGTTCGTGTGCGACTGGCCTCGATTTTTGGCCCTGTAGATTCTGCCCCTGGCGCCTCGGCTCAGGTCTTGGGGGGTGGAGGGCTTCGGGGGGCGAGTGCCTTGGGGGGGACGACGTCCCGAGCCGAGGTGCTGAGGGCCTTCGGCCTCCTGGAGGGGGACCTGCCAGCCATCCGCGCTGATGGGCTCCGCCGTTTGCGCAAGGAGGCCGAGGAGGGGCCCGAAGAGCCCCTGGACGGGGATTTCGAGGAGGCCTCCCAAGCTTCGGAGGCCTCCGACGCCGAGCGATAGCTCGAACGCACTGGCTTTAGGCCGCTTCCTCATCTCATCATCTCACCTCCTCCTCCAACCGCCGTCGTCATCGCCATCGTCTTCGTCGATGTGTGCCGCTCTCGTGGCTGTTTAATTGCGCCTCCTGGGGCCTCTTCTGGAGAGCCCCCGGCAGGGCGAGGGATAAACGGGATCGGCGCCGTCGTCGAGGAGGAAGACTTCCTCG